CTAACGACATGGCCACTAGTGTGCAATGTATATATATATATATATATATATATGGCCACTAGTCTGCTAAACTAACGACATGGCCACTAGTGTGCAATGTATATATATATATATATATATATGGCCACTAGTCTGCTAAACTAACGACATGGCCACTAGTGTGCAATGTATATATATATATATATATGACGATGTATATTTTATTGCAAGGAGAGTAGAGGGGGTAATCCATCACACGTTTTTTACTCGATGGTGTAGCTGCAAACGTCCCCCGAGGAAGCGTATCGCAAGTACGACGACCTCGCCACCAAGCACGTGGACGTCCTGCGTAAACTCACGCAGAAGATCCAGGCGGCGCGTATTGCCCAATCGAATGACGAGATTAAACTCTCGCTCAAGGCGTACGACGACGCGCTCGAAGACTTTATGCCGGTGCTTATGGCACAGGCCAATATTTATTGGGAGAGAGCCAACTACGCCCAAGTCGAAAAGATATTTCGACAGACGGCCGAGTTTTGCTCCGAGCACGAAAGCTGGAAGCTCAACGTGGCGCACGTGTTCTTCCTTCAAGGTTTGTTTGTATCTATATATATACTAGTATATAAATATGTATATACATATATACTAGTGTACCTACCTACACATGATTCGAGGAATATATATATATTTAGAAACGTATATATATCCGTGCAATGTCTGGGCACGATTCGAGGATAATATATATATATATATATATATTAATTTGAAACATATGAATATCTATCAACCTATATTTATATATCCATGCAATACCTGGGCATGATTCGATGATATATATATATGATACATACCCACATATATTCATAAACATATATCTATAACTACTACTCCGAAGTAAATACATAATATATGTATCCATGCAATGCTTCGACGATATATATATATATATAATAAATAGACCATGCAATGCCTTGGTATGATTTGAGGATAGAATGTGTCCACTAGTGTGGGGATAGTTTTTGATTTTAAGTATTTTCTTTTACTTTCATAATGGTTTATAGGCAACAAGTACGAACAGGCGATTCAGTACTACGAACCGTTTGTTAAGAAGCACCAAGTAAGTTCTTACGGACCGCTCGTTCGTTGTTTCAGTCCGACCAATGGATGGGAATGAGTAGGAGAATTTACTCGAAGTGCAAGCTATCATTTTGGCCAATTTGTGCGTATGTTATGTCATGAACACGGACAACGAAAAGGTACTTAAGTGGCCGCACATGTATTCAAAGATATGGTGCTGATGATGCTCATACGAAGGCCGAAGAGCTATTGCGGTCGATTGAGCGCGAAGAAGAGGAGGAGGCGACGCGGGACCCGGACAAGCGCTTGTTTCATCTGTGCATTGTCAACCTTGTGATTGGCACGCTGTACTGCTCCAAGGTAAACAAACGACGATCACCACAGCAGAGCCACCAACTGGACATAATAATAATAGTGTTCCAGTGGTTGGTCCCAGCTCACTCATGTGCGAGTGAGTATATAACGGTATATGTCTAGAACAACTACGACTTTGGCATTTGCCGCGTCATGAAGGTAGTAGTTACGACTAATAGACGACTCTTGGCTATGAATTTGAATATGATCATGTTAGAGCATGGAGCCGTATCATCGCAAGCTAGGCACGGACACGTGGTACTACGCCAAGAGATGTTTTCTCGGCCTAGCGTTGACGTTGGCCAAGCACATGACCACTATTCGAGACTCGACCATGGCCGACATTCTCGTAATAGCATGCGATGATGTTGATTGGGAGGATGTATTTCATCTGAAGGGGATGAGTGGGTAGGATTTCCTCGATGCGGCCGACACGCACGGCAAAGACATCCCCACGACCACGGGGGTAACAGATGACGACTTTACTATGCGATACAGTACACACCACAATTTTGTATAGATGGAAGCGACGGCCGGCAACAACGAACTGCCGCCGCATACAGTCAGCTACGAAGTACTGTGCACCAGTGTTATTCATATATATGTGGTCCTGATTGGGAGTAATTACGTAGGCGCGCGTGATCAAGCGCATGTTTCTCAAGTTGCGCGGTTAAATTCGTGTCATGACAGTAGAAACGTCCTCCTTCGTGGTCGACTGCATACTGTACATAAGATGATATTCATGTACATCAATTCCATTGCAATCATGTGTGACAGTGTGTCGAAACTAACTATGGAGGAGTATTGTAACAGTAGATAACAGTAGATACAACGACTGTAGTACTACAATAGTACTATTAATAGTATTACTACTATGATAGTATTAATAATACTATCATGTGTGACAGTGCGTCGATACTAACTATGGAGGAGTATGTAGTATACAGTAGTAGATACAACGACAACTGTAGTACTACAATAGTAGTATTAACTATAAGTGAAATCACCAGTTCAGACCGCTGTGGAACGCCGAGTTACTGTACTGTACTCGGCTTTGACGGCGTCCCAGCCGGGAACCCGCAGGGCCATCGACGCACCGGTGGCTTCCAGGACCAACCAACGGCGCCACAGCCGAGGAGCATGCCGTTGCGGTGCGTGTTCGAAGGGTAGCGCGGCGACTGCGACTTTGTACGCAATCGACGCGACTCCGAGCGAGCAAAGCCCGTCGTAGATCCACGGCAACAGTTTCTTGTTGCGGATTAAGATACCCGAAATACCAGTCCAGAGGTCACTCAAAGCGGAAACCAAAATACGCTACTAAAAGTTATTGTACGTACTGTACATAATTCAATCGATGAGTTGGCAGACAATGGCTGCATGGCCTCAGTGTGGAGTGGACGATGCAAAGTACGAAACGTACAAACAACTTTCACTATACATACGTACCAGTATCAATTTGCCAAGGTTTAGTTCATGACCCATAAGGTAGCCGAATCGCTCGCAACTTCGTCGCCGTAGTCGTCCAAGTTGGGTACGGAACCTCGCGAACACAGAGACCTGCTGCGGTCGCAACAACACGGCATCGATATTCTTTGCATGCAAACGCATGTACGCAAAGTGTCATTCGACAGGTGAGAGGCACACGTTTTGCCTCTTTGTTAGGGCGGCCGGCGGCCTTCCGTGGGAAGGTTTACCTCCGATCAATTGTCGCCCGCATCATCGTCAATACTATAGGTGGGCCGCGGCACATCTGGTAACTCGAATTCATGGATTTGGTGCTTATAACGAGTCGTGGCAAACACCGAATCCACCACTTCGTGCAGCCATACCCGCCACTTGTGTGCGAAGGGCGAAACGAGCCTGGGATTATACCATGGTGTACATGTCTGACAAATTACACTTGATGTACAGTATGCCAACACTGCTGCTTTGTGAGGATTGTGGGACGAAGTGGTCAAGCGTGCTTTTTGTGGTGTTGTAGTTGGAAAAGCATACTCCAAGGAGTATGAGTGAAACCATTAGTACTACTAGTAGTAGGTGTGTTTCGTACTACGTTTTGTAAAACCCAGGGAAAGGGTACTAGTAGTAGTACTACGTAGTACTCCGGAGTACTTCAAAGTAATACTGTAACAGTCAGTACTCGACGGAACATTATTTTGAATTATCCCGTCATAGAATTCATGGAACATCATGATCAAGGTTAGGGAAGTGCAGTAATCGATTTGTGCACAGAGACCAGTCGGGGGCGATCATCATGACGCGGCAGGCCATGTCGACGCTGGCAGGCGTGGCGATAGCGACCGTCGCCGGTGGGTACTTACTGTATCGGGCTGTGCGGCGTCAACACCACACCAGGACCCATGTGCTGGAGGCCATGGCGCATCAAGTTGGCGGTCATTCCTGCGATAAAACTAGTACGTTCATCGACCGAGGTTGCCTATATCAACATGTCGTAGGTTTGAAAGTGTACCAGGGCCGGGTGCTAAAGCCATTCCAGAACAAGAACAGAGGGGAAACCGAGCTGGCCTTCTACGAGCGCCTCGCTTCATCCTCGCCTCGTATCCCGTACTTCCCGTCCTTCCACGGTGTCATCGAGCTGCCATCTTCGTCCTCAGACCTCCGTCGGTACTTGCAGCTCGAAAACTTGGTTGGCGGCATGACCCATCCATGCATCATGGACATCAAAATCGGCACACAGTCGTACGAACCATCGGCCTCCCCCGACAAGATCGCCTTGGAAGCGGCGAAGTGTCCGTTGCAAGCGACCCTGGGGTTCCGCCTCCAGGGCATCAAAGTGTTTTGGGACGCGACGCAGCGCTACCATGAATATGACAAGCATTACTTTCGAGCATTGGACACGATAGAGGCCATCGAAGAGAGTCTGTTGCGGTTCTTTGAAGGTGGCGAAAGGCCATCTATTCCCAACCAAAGCCAACAGCCGCCAAGACGTACTGGGAGTCGAAGTCCCCACGTAGCAGCCCGCGCCGACCGCGTGCATCACGTACGTCCGACCTTGTTCGATTCGTTTCCAAGTCTGGTTCAATGTGATAATGGTTTGTAATGTGTTGTCAGTTTCTTGTCAAGTTGGACGCCATCCGAGCGTGGATAGCTGTCCAGACCGAGTTCCATTTCATCGCCAGCTCGCTTTTGTTTGTGTACGACGCCAGCAACGCCGGCGCCGTGGACGTCCGCCTCATCGACTTTGCGCATGTGCAGTTTGACCAATCGACCGTGGACGTTGGTGTGCTCACAGGCATCGACGCCGTGATCGCCATGTTCCGTCGGCTATTGGAGTCCATCGAACTGCCGGCTAGCCTGCGCGATGCCATGCCTGTCGACGGGGAATCCCCAACTAACTAGATACTGTAGTACTAGTGACGCGATCTATGGAGAAGGAGATACATTATTGTGCTACTCTTGCAAGACTTGAGTGCAAAGATAAACTACCGAACACATTGAGCACGCGTTCGTTGTTGGCACTGCCGTGGTGGCTTTCTATTATACTTAGGAGGAATAACGCATATATACATTCATTACTAGTATATAATATATATATATATATCATTACTAGTATATATATATCATTACTAGTATATATATATACATATATATCATTACTAGTATATATATACTAGTAATGCTAAACGTTACTAGCGATAACAGCCCCAGTCCACTGACAAACACTGTGGTCATTGACAAAGCAACACAATGCAAAGTTATCGTCGAATTATAATACATCCAGCCGCCTCCCAGTCCAAGGTCGACTCTACGTTAGCCCTCGACTTCTACAGACTAGTAGTACTAGTAGTAGTACTACATCATTTCGACTACAGTAGCTCCACTAGGCAGTCTACCCCGCGATATGTCACCTACTGGCCGCCAGGGAGCAGCTGGTACGTGTTCGCCTGGCCTGGGTTCCACGTGCACGGGTCACTTCGAATGAGATCGGCGCGGCGTTGGTCGGCATACTTGGCTTTGTAGTACGCAATCATGTCTTCGACTTCCCCGGCGTAATCTTCCAACAGGACATCGACGCTGGCGACGCGGTCGTGATCATACTTTTGAAACAAATGCACCAACCTCGACCGCTGGTTCACTTTGTACTTGATCTGATGTCATCATCGCGTGCGTCATACATATATCATTTCCTACCAAATGATATATATCACGAAAAATACCTGGAGTTCTTCCCAAATGTCTTCGTTGGTCTTGCCCCCATACGCCAGCAAGTCGTCGACGCCATCGACCGCCGCCATGTCGTACTTTTGCAAAAACACAATCACTTTGTCCCGAAAGCTTAGCTTGCCTTTACTTGGCAACTCTTTGGTCTTGTGCTCAAGCACCTACGTGCAGTCCAAAGCATCTCATTGAACACAATCGCCAGCAAGTATTGCCGTAGCCTAGCGAGGGATGTCACGTACTTGCTGGTTGACGTGGTCTGCATGCAGGGCCTCGCCCGTGTCTAGACATCGCACTTCCATGGGCGACGACATGGAGGAAGCTGCCTCCGCGCCGCCGCTGCGTCGACAACCTCCGTCGCTGTGACTGCTACCACGTGCAAGATATACACTGATAAGTCTTTGATTATTTGAAAGGCAATGTACACAAACGGCGCTGCTGCGATGGGCATATATTCTCACCGTGGCTTGACTTCGTACGGATTGAATGAGTTGTCCGTGGTGGTAGTTGTTGTGGAACTGTGGCCTCGAACGCTACAAGAACGTGGTCGTTGGCTGACTTTTACTGGAGCGAGGCAAGCTAAGCTATCTATGATCGACGGAGTGTGTACCGATTCATTAGAGTTGCCATCGCCTTGGTCGTTTGGGCCATTCGAAAGCCTACACGACGGGCGTCAACATGTGTGAGCAACAAAGAGTAGCCCCAAGCAATGCCAGCTATTTTACGTTGATGGGATTGTTGTTGCGACGACGACGACGACGACGAGGATGGAGGAGGGGGAGGGGGTGGCACTTCGGGGCCGCGAATCCCTTCCATTTTCGACCCCGATGGCTTTCCTTGCGATTTTCGAAACTTGGCGATCAACTTGGCGTTCAAGTACGTGGCGATCGCTGGTTTAGGGAGCGATAGGCGCTTCCGCAGGGCTTGGGCGAGGCTATGTCGTCCTATCGCTGGGCTGTTGTTGTTGTCAGCACCATCCTCAGGTGTGCACAGCGCCGTGCGTTCGACGGCGTCGACCACGAGCTGCAGTGGTCGCCCGTCCTTGGTGTAAAAGTACCGGTAGCACTCGACTAGTTCCAACTCGAGGCCTTCGTACTGTTTGAGGAGGTCGGTGGCCGTAGTAGCATCGGCGTTGTCTGGCTCAAACTCTTGCAAAATGGCTTCCAAGTCGGCGCGAAGGTGCTCGAGGTCTTGGTTGGTGAGGGTTCGATGTCGATACGATTTCGAGGCGGCCGCCGACGTGAGCGTGGCCAGCAGAGGAGGCGTCGATGGCTTGGCGTGAGCTTTGCAGCGGTGGTCTTGGATACCCATACCACCGAGGAACGAGATATATAGATATTACAACGAACAAAACCAAGTGGCGCCGTGGAAAGATATGAGTGTTGACTTATGTGGCTATTTATAGCATCGTGTGATCCGAACGATAGAAGGTGTGATGTACTCAACCGTCGCTCGGTGAAACATTGCTGTGAAAAGACAGTTGTTGCTGTATAATTGATTATTATATGGGGGCGTAGGGGGATATAGATATGGGGGACGTGAGTGCATAGCTATGAACAGTACACTATCGACGAGTACCTGTGTGCTGACGGAGACTACATGTGAAATCGTAGCTAGGGGGGATTGGCTGGCGTGGGTAACCAACCAGGCCAGACACTTACTTTGACATTTACTACTGGCAAGGTGATCTTCTACTAACGTGACTGATCAGTGATCCGCCAAAATTAGGATTTTTTCCTTCTTGAATTACTACTCAGCGGCTATTTGTGCTAGAACAAAGATGGACACACATTCTGATAGCCAATTTCAAGTGCTTTCACAAGGATTCAAAACCGATCGGATCTGACAGTTCATGTTTCTCCAATTAATTTAGAAAGTTGAGCTATTTACACAGTCGATCAGTGATCCGCCAAAATATATACTTGAAGTGAGTATTGAATTCAGTTTAACAAAATCCAAAATCTTTAGCTGAAAATATAATATGATAAAGGTATACTACGTAGTATTAGTTTTAGAAATGTATGAAGTTTTGAGGTATTGACAGGGTGGAGTGTTGGACAATTCGTGCATTATTTCTCACGAGGTCAATATTGTAAGAGGTTTTGTTTTGTCCAATACAATTCGAGAAACCATGTTATTGGATAAAATGTTTTGGCGGATCACTGATCGGTTAGTATATGTACGTTGACTACCGTTTGGGACTTGTGCTGAGCCAGCAATTGAGTAGTACGGCTGCACTTTATTTGGCCAGTTGGGCCACGCTTCGACCACGCTCATCATGCCTTGATCGCGTGAAGTTGTTATCATCAAGTAAGTATGAGTTAGTAGGTTTCTGACGTGGTGGGCTCAGAGTCGGGAATTAGAGTGTCAGTCTTAAGGTCTTTACAATAACTTCCGACAACTTTGATGCCTGCAACCCATCGCCGTTGCAGCTATCGCATTGACGCTGTAGACGTGCGTTGCTGTCGTCTCCGCTGAATGCTCTCCCCACGACGAGCTATGTACATACTCGCTATCCGCCCCTTAACCACGGACCAGAGTGTCCAATCATACTGCAATGCCAAGCTAGGATTCAACGTGCTGGAGATGTGTTTCTTGGCTCGGTCGTACCCAAACCAACACAATTCAAGACTTCATGCCCTGCCCAAGTGGTCTTTGAAAATGCCACGCGCTCCCTCGCTCGGAATCGCCGACCTTGCGTATGATGAGTTTATAGCTCATAGGCGTCGCGACAGTGCAACGACTACACAGCCAAACGATAATCACGTCACCTACGGACATGCCGACATCGACACACAGCAACGAAAGGGCGCCATGCTTCGAAATGAGCATCCATGGTGAAGCGACATACTGCGTCATGGAAGGTCCCGTTTGTGCCGGTAGCACATCCGAAAGAGGGAGATTTCGCCGTGGAAGTGTGTTTTCCTCCCATTTGAAGCACGGGGTATGTCAAGCACCTCGAACGAGTAAATGCTGTGAGTGGGTCGTAGACGCGCCGTTCCCTGTCGCCATCGTTGTCAACGTTATGACCGTCGAGAAACCTGCCGTTACGTTACATCACGACGCCACGAAGATGGACGGACGAGACGAACCATGGCATCGTCATCGTCGTGTGGCCTCAGTGGTCGTTCGTATAGTCACGCTTGCCGTGGTGTTGTGGCGTGCAAGTCGGGCACGCGGATACCACCAACCCAGGAGTATGATGCCGTCAGCAATGTTCCAACGGCCCATCATCGTCCCTGTGGGCCTTCCCTTCCGCCGCCCAGACATGTTCCGTCTAAGTTTCAAAAACCGATGAAACTGGTGTATCTTTTTGTTTGGCGCGCCACTTTTTTTCACAAATTTAAATATACATACTATTTCTATATGAAACTGAGAATTTTATTGCGTGACTGGGATCTTCATTTTCTCATATTCAGCGGCCAAGAAGAGTCTTACATGGGTCGCATCAGTACGAGTCCCCGTCGCGCCACGGACGAGCATCTTCTCGACGTCGCCGCGCTGGAGATGCGCTTCCAGACGGACCTTGTCTATGGACTCACCTCGGCGCATGTCGCGGAACTGCAAGCTCAGCCAACGTACCGGCCGAATCTTCTCCCGACAGACGTCGAGACGGGGCATGGCGCTATCCACGAACTCGTGGCCGTTCTGCGCGAAGGCACGTGGATCCACACACGCGCCGAGAACCTCGTACCTGGAGACGTCATTTCCTTGAAGACAGGACAATGCGTCCCCGCCGATGTCCGACTCGTCGAAGCAGAGGATATGGTGGTGACTCACCTCACGCTCACGGGGGAGAAGACGCCGTTGCCGCGCAGTGCGACGACCGTATCAGTCTTTGATTCCCCAGGCGTCAACCTGCCGTACATGCAAGCCGCCAACATGCTCTTCTATGGCACGACGATTACCCAAGGCGTGGGGAAAGGCGTGGTGTGCCGCATTGGCGCGGACACTGTTCTAGGTGTGATCTCGAACACAGTCTTACAGTCCCAACGGACTCGCGATCCGTCACCCAACACCAAGCTCTACGACGACGTTCGTACCCTGGGTGTCGCGTGCAAGAACGAACAAGTTCCTGCATGTCTCTCGAAAATCACCGCCCTGGTCGTCGAACACTCTTGTGTGGTCCAGCGTACTGTCGTCACGGCGTCATTTGGCGCCGACCTCCCTGTGACTGTGACGGCGGCCGACGCGGGTCTGCATCCCGCTGAAGCTTCCACGGATGATGTGGAGCTTGCGATCGCGACGACAATCATGGACACGTACAAGGCCAATTCGGACGCGAACGCGCTCATGCGTGCGTTCTCCGCGTGTCATTCCCACCCGTCGCTGAACTCCCGGGACCAAGCGGCGATTTCTCGGTTCTGCGACCTTTTCACGGGCACGAGCCGGTACGCCGCGTCGCTGTGCGGACAGCTCAGTGGCTGCGATGTGTATGTGCATTTCGACCCGGAGTGCAGTGCCCACGTGGTAGTACTGCAAGGGCCCGCGCGGGAAGTGCTCAGCCGTTGCGGTCAAGTGCGCAAGGGCCAAGGCGTGGTGGTGCTGGACACGGCAGACTTTACCAACATCGAAAGGATGCTGGAGAGCTTGGAGGCGCGCGGTGAGGACGTGGTGGGCGTGGCCGAGCTGTACTTGGACCCGGTGGAGTTTCCTCCCGTGGGCAACATCGCGTTGGACATGGCACAGTTCAACTTTCCCACGTCCAACATGATTTACCTCGGCGCGTTGGGGCTGCAGGACAAGGCTTCGCCCGATCTCGTGCACCTCGTCACGCATTGCCACGCCGCCGACGTGAGTGTGTTTGTTTTAGCCGAGGAGTCGGAATTCGTCGTCGACGGGTCGTCGTTCGTGTCCACCGTGCTGGCCGCGCCGTCGCGGCAGTACCACCGCCGCCGGTCGTCGTCCGTCGACGCCACGCCGACCTCGTCCGACTTTCCCGTGGATTCGCATGCTAGCACGCGCTTCGTCCCCCTCAGCAACGTCCAGCTCGGCGTGCAAGACGCGACCGCCGCCATGATGGACCTGTCGCCCCTGGTCGTGGCTGCGTCGGCCATTTCGATTTCCAACACGTTTGGCGACTGGAAGCACATTTTGATGGAGCACCCCGTCGTCGTGTTTGAAGGCACGTCGCCGGCGCACATTGACCTCCTCGTGGAAACGCTGCAAGACCTGGGCGAAGTCGTGGGGTTAATCGCGTCGGGCAACGCCAATGCGCTCTCCCACTTGAATGCGGACGTGGGCTTCGCCATCCCCACGGGAAACATCATCGACTTGAGCGAAGAGGCCGCGGATGTCGTCCTCGGATACTCCGAGTCCCCTCGGTACGTATGTGCAAAGTGTATGGGGCGTTTCTACATGCATTATGAGTCTAGAGTAGGACGATTGAATGCGACGACGAATGTGATGTGTTATATGTATGTATAGGGTGGATGCCGTGCGCATTATCGAATTGGCCAAACGCGCTGCTACTGCGACATCCACAGACGGACTTGGCGGCGACGGGGCCGCCCGTGCACGGGACAGTGGGCCGTCGCTGGGCACCTTTGTCCCCGGTATATGATGATACCGTTCTGTTTTTGATGAAGCTGTGATGCTGTTGACTTTGGTGAAGCAAGACTATGTTTGACGTATACCTTTCATGGTGTGTGTAGAAGGGCCCCATGGAGAAGCCAAGCATTTGATTGAAAATTTGCTGCGCGATACGATCGCCGTGGGACGGGCGTTGCAGTTGTCCCCGGATGAAATGGAAGAGTGCTTTCACGTGGCGATGGGTAATATGGTGGACGGGACCCACGAATATGTCTGAGGCGAGCGTGTTGTATTTCCCGGTAGGCCCTGGGGCTTTCCCCCCCCTCCCTTCGTCTTTCATGTCGTCGATGATGGCAGCGTTCATGATGTCGAGTAGTTGTAGGCCGGCGTCGTCCCCGCAGTCTCCAACGTCGTCGGCTCCGCCATCCCCAGGGCTTTCCCCGTAACTTAAGCAGCATTGTGTCTCGTTTCGATGCCGTGGTCATTTGTCGTGTCTGCGCTGTGATATACAGACAGTATCACGGTGGAAACTCACACACTTCAATTGCCCACAGTGTCACTATGAGGGTGTGTGTGGCACTGCGTCGTCACGTTTTCATTCATCTCACGCATTCTCCATGGCCAGTGTATTCAACCCTCATGATGGGTGTACGACGTTTGTTGTCAAACGTGCGTTTGAATGGGGCGAGATTCTTCTCGGCAATGTGAGATATGGTGTAACTAGGTAGAGTCTATGTTGCATGCTGCAGTGACAGTGTACACTCGGAGCGCACAACGATTTGATTCAGACGAGGATGTCGTGACCTGGAAGGAACTACTGGTAATGAACCAACTACATTGGGATCGAAGGACCCTTGCCAATGCACGAAGAAATAGAGGCTGGACATGGGACGATTGGTTGTGCTAGCCCTTGAACAAGTACAGTAAACGTACAACCGTCCTGAACAGCAGACTATGAGTTTACAATTTGTCCAAGCGACGCCATAGGTCTTGGGAGTCTCTTGGCAGTGTGTGTCCCCCTGTGAACGTTGGTAATCACATGATAAGTTAGCTAACCATGTTGGATACACGAGCACTGTAGCCAGCCATCTTCCATCCTCCACCGACGGATGATCTGCATCCAAGTCCACTTGAGGCTTTGACGACGGGATAACGATTCCACATAACCCACCTATGTATGCTCCGTTTCTTATCCGTCGCAAAGTGTAGTTGTCGGGGACCATGTGAACGAAGCGTCACAGTTACGTGGGACAATAACATTACGACAAACTCGTTGCTGAATACTATGAGATCGACGGGGTACACCCCCCGCTTGCCAGTGTGCGAGCATGTTCCATGGAGTCTCTCTCCGCCCAGTCGAATGCCCCCCCCCCACTTGGCACTTGACCCCAATCCTTGGAGTCCTGGGTGCAATCTTAACTCGTGTTTTGCAAGTGACATATTGTAAAATCCGGTATACTGTAGTTACTTCTATATGTATCACGAGCACAACCTTTGCTCCCGACCAAAATGGATGGACATGAGGAGGTCCTAAAGTGAAGTTCACAGTGATGCATGCTGCTAAAGGACTGTACCAGGTTGCCTCGTCCATGGATTAGAATGCGAAGCGGGGAGTTTGAGTACTGAAGTTAGTTGTACAGAATGTTCTGGAGGTCACTAGCCACACCATTGCAGTCAAATGATACTAGGTTTAACGGTTTTTACTTATAAACGAGTTTATTTATAGTTCGTTTTTGTTCCAAGATTTTCCGAAACCCCATATACGTGCTGCATTGAAACTTGTGATTCCATTGTTCGTTATAGTACAAGGAGAGGGGAGGCAGCGACGGGCGACGCCGCTACCGGATGTGCTTCGTACACGGTAGCCACGGGCGTGTCGCTCGACTGCAGAGACCAGTGTACTATTATTTGATAACGTTAGCAGAAGACTCTAACGTAAACGATCAATTCCGTGCGCGATTTCTGAAATGTCCATGACTTGAACGACTCTATGTCCTGGAGACATGCTCCAATTTTCACGATTCAAATCGCATTCGATTCAAATCGGCTGGATTTATGGATTGCTGAAGGAATTATCGGCTTTGACGAAGAATCGAAGTGTGCAGAGCAATTTTCGTGGTCAAAAAGGCATGATCAATTCGGTGCGCGCTTTCAATCATCTTGGATTTTGTATTGTGTGTTTTGTGGGTCAAGGAGAGGGTTAGGTATTCATTCTCACAGTGAAATATGAATAATGACAATGTATTGAATCACAGAGGAACGTTGTCCCGCACCAAAATATAACCGTTGCTTCCAACGACAACCCGCAGGTATTTGGATATTAGCCATCAAATACCTTACTATATAAGGTAGTTTGGTTTGAAAATGGCCCAATCATTAACCTGTAAGCAATCAAATACCCGACACCTTCCGTTAAATATCCAACACGTTTTGTGGACACTTATTCTAATCAAGTACAGATGCCGCTGGCATGACTGGTTTCGGACCAGGTCGTTGCCTCTCAGGTGCCGACTGACCAAGTCGGAGGATGGCTACGTACTTTTGGATTGTACGCTGAGGTATTGCATACTTGACAGACGCCTGCTTGGATAACAGGGTGCCACTGATAACGTCAGCAGATGCCTCGAGGAGCTTCTCCTTGGAGTACTGCCGGCTAAGCCCCATGCGCTGTGGGGACGGCATTGCTGTTGGCACTCACGAGTGGCAGGTTCCCGCCCAGTCATGGTTCAAAATTCACCTCTTTAAGTCAATCGTGGATGTAATATTAATTTATACAAGTATGGGAAGGAAGAGTTTTTGCAGAGTTATGTAATTGGTGGAAAGTTGGCGCACGGAATTGATCGTGGCGCACGGGACTGATCGGTTACGTTATCGACCGTTGCGCTCCTCTTTATAAAAGCACATAAATATATATTTAACCAATAGTGCATGATAACACTTTGCTCCGATTGGAATTTTATCATTATGTTGCAATGCACGTGCATGTACGTAGATCCTATCTGTTTGTGGACTAGGTATGATTAACGTTAACCTGCTTGGACGGTTTGTACTACTTCAAGTACTTCGAAGTACTTTTAACTACCGGAATGTCCAATAATAGTACGTGTGTTTGATGCAGTTTTGGACATAAATTATACGCATTTGATTTGATGATGAGGGCTGTGGGCCACAGGTAACTTGAACAGTTTAAGAGAATTGACAACTAACGTTACTCGTAATTGCAAGTATGAACATACACACGCTGTCTGGTGAATAATCCATTGAAACGTTTCGTGGTTTCGGGGACTCAAAGTCAAGCCGTCGAACGTCGTCCTCGTCTCCTCCAAAGCTGCCACCAATACACTCGACATAAGAGTGTTCTTGAGAATACCAGCAGATGCCCATAGAGGCAGCAAAGCGGCGACCGTTGGAGCTCTGGATGTTGATGGCGCGGAATTCATCCCAACTTCAACTTCAAGGGTGAGGATAACCTTGAATCCTGACGGATTGGGTTTTAAGTTTAAACCACAGAAGTCAATGACCACCTGGTTAGTGACCCGGTTTAGCCCACGATGGCCTGGCCACCACTCCCGGACGTTCAAGCTGCAGCGACGCTGTCGACATGCGATGTGACCACTACAGTACGTACAATTCTACGTCGTACAATAATGCATCGTCCAGCCCACTGGTAACTTTGCTGCTCGGACGATGCAGCCCCACCTGAACGTATCTGCAACCGGCCAACAACCCATGTTTGCATGCCGAAACGAGTACATACATGGCCTGTGAACGTTTACGACGAGAAACGGTATCGCAGACTCGGTCGAGGTCATTTCCGGCCAAGCTTTAAAAGTCGCGACATTGCTCACACAGTAGTCGGTGTGGCTGAACGCACCATGGACCGTCGCTTCGTCGCTCTGACCACAAGAAATTCGCAGTGTGGTTAATGTAGTCTCGAGATTGGACTATAATAACGAAACGTAGTCAAGTGGTGCACATGGCATGGCGGACTAGAATAACATACATACTAGAATAACAGAGTATAATAACGAAACGTAGTCAAATTGTGCATGGCATGGCCGACTAGAATAACATGCAGACTAGAATAACAAACAGACTAGAATAACAGAGGACTCCCGACGCGCGAATTCACGGGTGGGACTGATGACGCACTCAGGTTGCCGCGGGGGATGTCGGACGACAATCACACAATAATGGAAGGTAACACAAAGACTTGGGTAGCAGAATCATGGGGAGATGGTTGTTGTAGCTAAGTTAAATAAATACAAGGCTGGTGGGTCGTTTACTTCTTGGAGGTAGCGGCGACCTTGCCCCCATGAGCCCAGCAGTAGCCGCCAGTCTTGGGACCCTTTGTACAGCCTTGCACCAAGCACATGCGCTTGCCGCCGTGACTCCAGCACACTCCAAACTTTCGCGACGCGTTCTGACACCCTTCGGCGGTGCATCGCTTGCCTCCACCATGACTGATGCAGTAGCCGAGACTCACGGCGTGCTTGGAGCAACCGTCCTTGGAACATCGGATGCCACCGCCGTGGGCAATGCACACGCCACCAGCTTTGGCTCGTTTTTCGCACCCAGAGACACCGCAAAGTTTGACTCCTGTGCTGCTCTTGTTGGATGGGGAGTCTGCGGACAGGACAGGGGAAATGTGCAACGTGCCCTTGAGCGACGGGAGGGTTGGGAACGTGAAGCTCGACCCGATTGTTTGTTGCGAGGACGCCATGAACTCTTGGAAAAACGGCATCGCGTTGTCTCGTCGTCGTTGTTGTTGATGGAACGTCTTTGAAGACGATCGAACGAACGCATTGAGAGGTGGTAAGCGTTGATGGTGGATGTGGATGGGAGACACTTCGAGTGGGAACGCGTGGGAGATGCAGCTTGGACTGGTGACTTGGAGAGGCGACAGCGGAAACAACGCCGACGACATATTGTGGTACGAGGAAGACGACGTCGGCGACGGCAAATGTGCATTGAGGCTCGGGAGGCGTTGTCTGCGGGACGGGAACGCAGCAGCAGCAGCCATGACGACGGTGATGGCAAGATGGCAAATTCAGGAATGAGGTTACAGTTGGTGCTTGGCTGCGATCTTCCGCCACCATATGGTTCAACACAACTTTGTTACCATAGTGAGCGCAAGTCAGAATTTCGAACGGAGGATAATTCTCAATTCTCAATCCAGCCAATCACGGGGCGTCGTCCAAGCAGAGTCATAAACTTGGTTTGGGACAAACTGGGTGAATCAGAGGGACAAAGTCGTTGCATTGCATATGACGATAAAGGCATGGGTATGTGTCGCTTACCAAGGCGACACTTGGACAACAAACGTAAAGACACTTCCATTCTGTCGCCTGCTAGGACCGTTCCGGTTAAAGGACTTGAAAGTGGGGTCGCCACTACTGAACAGAACTGATTGTCTGTCGTCGACACAGCAAGTTTCGTCGTTGGCTGTCGTCTGGCCAGTGAGAACTTGTAGGAAGTGTAAGCAGTAGCTTGGTTTGAGGGCAAAATGTTGAGGGGGCATTGTATTCGACAGGTTTATCCGGAAATGCATGGATTCCACGAGGTATATCCGAAAATGTATCGAAATATTTGATTTTCGAAGCAGCGGCTACTTTCACTTCTCGTGGGTGCATATCCCCCGAGTTGTCCAATGGAACGACTGAAATGTTCGTCCACGACAACCATCCAACGAACGACGAACGAAGGCTTGGAGAACATGATGATTAGACGTCGGGTACTGGACCGTACTCGACAGCGAGCCGGGTTGGCTTGAGGATCTCGGACGAGATTGCCAAGCCTGTGCGCGTATTGAACGCCGCCAAGTCCTTGTCCCCGTCGCTCCGACAATAGTACAGCTGTCGCTCCATGTGATACATCAATGGCGGAAGGACGTAGTGGAAGGCTACGCTATCGGGCGAACAACACGCGTCATGGCGCGCGGCACCGCCGATTCCGTCGTGATATTGCACGAGCCAGTACGACGGAGTAGTCACGTCGGTAAAGTACACGCCTACCATACATTCCCTCAATTCTCTCCACCTCACCACCTTCGTTCTTTCAGTTCTGGATATACCTCGAGGCTTGTCTGCATGCCATCGTTCCCGATGCGACAAGTCCCGCGTATTCGACGGGTACACGTTATGCCAGACCATGCAAAACGAGATCGCGGCATCATCTGGAAGCATTTCGCAATATTTGTCGCTCAAGCACGTCGTCCGGTGCAGTGACTCGACGACCGTCTGCACGTACAGAGGGTTCATGGCATACCCAGGCCCCCCCGAGTTGAACACCCATCGGTTGTGTGTCAGTTGCTTGAACTGCGCGAGCAATGTCTTGTTCACAACGTAGTAGTCGACGAGGTCGGGGGTCAGCTTGTACCGATGGCTACAAAACGACGTCGCAGTTGTTCGTTAGGAACACTTGCTGGACAACAACCTACATAACGTTACTCGAATGGTTACCCAAACGTGAGCGGCACGACGTCTTGCCGCATGACGACTTCTGGAAGTCGCAGGAACGCTTGCAGGTTCTCCACGATTACGTACGCGTCGTCGTCCGACTTGTAGAACCAGTCGAAACCGTCGAACCGATGGTGGTCCCATGCATATTGCAGCGTATGTTTGTGCTTTTGCCAGAGGTGGTTGTGGTCAGCTTGTGTGTCCAGTTGGACAATGTCTGGTGTGGTGGCGTCCGTCGCATTGCTAAAGAAGAGCAGCTTCGCGCAACGCTGGCCCCATGTGTCCTATGGAGACGACATGCCATGAGACCCGGCGATGGAGCAGGAAGGGAGGTAGTATGTACATACTCGGATGGCTTGCACGCGGGTGTTGTGGTGGACAGACATCGTGTTGACGAGGCACAGGATGCGCGGTGCCGACGACACATTCTTGGCCACGTTGATGAGGTTCAGGGCGTATTTGGAATGGTCAATGTCAATAGCGCATAAATCCTCCTTGGACAGCGCAGAATGTTCCCCAGAGGGAGCGGCGATGGCGGCAGCAGCGACGCAGCAGACCACGGCCACTTGCCACATTTGTCACTTGGCAATAATGTCGCTTCTCCCAGGTGGTTATCCGGATGATGTTGTCGGGTGAGATACCGGATGCTTCCACACCTTTACACCAAGTACTGTACGAGTACTAACCGGTAGATAACTGTTGACAAGTTAGCCATAGACAGTTTCATGGTGAAACCGTCAAAGGCGTAACCGATGATCCTTGTCATTTCGAGATGGGGATTGCGGCACGTTGTTTGTGTTGGCTTGTCGTGTGCAGTCTTGCATCATGGGCTCAAGGTTTTGCTGTTGTGAAGGAGCCTCTCTATGGCATCTCCACTGGCGTGTGTACGTATTATAACGTTCCTTGTAGTCCATGCAGTACAATGTGGCCCGTTGGACTGAGTGCATTGCTTGGCTTTGTAGCGTACACGTTAGCGTTCACCGTTGGCGGGACGCCGACAAAGCCGTCATCGGTACGAGAATCGATGCTTACGTCAGAGCAACCATGATTTACTGATATTATTGTGGGAAAGTCGTACCAGCTGCTCGTGGACACGGGGTCGTCCAATGTGGCACTGGCGACGTCGACATGCTGCAGCAACTCTCGGGCGTTGGGATCATTGCCAGTGTTCAGCTGCGCCGCGTCGTTGTCATGTGCGGCTACGACTGAGCCAGCGACCAACATTTCCGTCAAGTACATCGCGTCGTCGTGGACGTAAGGACGACCCCTTTGTGTCACTTTGTGTCGACAACACACATTGTATAGGGGACATGTGGTCAAGGATGTATTGGCCACACCCCGCCTTGGCGCGATCTCCGACTTTGAGTTTGTCGCGATCGATTCGCAGCAGGAATTCATTAAGGGCGGGTTCAGTGGCATCCTCGGCATTGCCTTCGATGCCCTCGCCCAGGTACTAACCTAGCCACATTCCGACTGTGATAAGTTCTACGCTTTCGAATGAGGACACTCACTCGGTCGCTTGTGTTTGTGGCCTTCGAAACGACATAGCCCAAAGACAAACCCTTGACCACGCTCGTGCAAACGCTCGTGGATACACGTCAAATGGACAATGTGTTTGGGGTGCAGCTATGTGGCATTTTGCAGCCATATGCCCGTGGGGTAACCCCCGCGGATATCTCGGGCGCCATCGGTACATCAATCTATACCTCTCTTCATGCACCCCCACTCTGATCGATGGCATGCTCAGTATTCGGGGGACTCGTGCCACCTACGGGAAGATCCTTGTATCGAGGGCCATTGGTGTACACCCCCTTAGTACAAGTACACTCTTATCACAAGTCGAATAGTATCGAATCTCGCAGTATCTTTGAAACAGAGCGATGACGGATGGAATTACCATTTGTAGGCCAAGTGGTATGTGGTTCTGGTGTCGGACGTGGCGTATAACGGCACGTCGCTCCCACTGCCATGCACAGCCTTCAATGCACCCAAGGTACCTTACCTACCTTCGATCTCGTGCATTATTGGGTTTGGCCGTTCATGTTTGAATGCAATGCTGGCTTATGACTTATCTATATACAGGCTATTGTGGACACGGGCACGACCAACATGGTCCTGCCGCCGGCGGTGTACCGCCCACTCATGGCCATGCTCCGCGATGCCACGTTGCAAGCCATTCCTGACTTTCCATCGACGTACTTTAGCGACCGGTCGGTGTGTTGTGAAGCGTACTGTGACCCGGCGGACGTCAACTCGACGCTCATGTCACTCCCGTCCCTGACCGTGTCGTTTGCGCTGCAGGGAAACGTGCGAGATCAAGTCACGATTACGATCCCACCGGCGTACTACTGGCGCCCCATTTCTGTGCACAGCGCCGTGGGCACCACCACGTGCCGCATGATGGGGCTGTCGGAAGGAAGCAGCATGATCCTCGGCAATGTGTTTATGGACGGGCTGTACACAGTCCACGATCGTGCCAACGGTCAAATTGGGTTTGCCGTTGCCGACAACTGCGAAAACCTTGCGATTTCCATGAAAACCGTCTTCTCGTCGGCGCTACCTCCATCGACATCGTCGTGGTGCGACTGCCTCTCCGCTGCCGAACTCAACGACAACCTCGTCACGTCCAAGATTCCAGGACAACGAGCGTGCTTCATTTGGTACTGGTGGACGTATGTCTTTCTCGTGTCTATCGTGGTGATTATCATCTGCTGCGTCATTCTCTTGTGGATGTGGATGACCAAACGGCGCCGCAGTCAACAGCGCCGCGCCATGCATGCTGCTCCTCCTCCCAGTTTCCTCCAGCACCAGCTGCTTGATGGCGAAGGACCTATGACACCGAAAGAAGCGCCGCCGCTGTCCCTGAGCTCTGAATGTCTGTCGGACGATGACCTGCCAGCAGCATCGCATCACCACACAGAGTACTCTTTGTGACTTTTCGATAACAATCGCGAAAATTCGTCATCCGAATAAAGTTTTTACTTATCCGGACGAAGCGCCATCAACACACAAAATCCGGCACACAAAGCAACATGGTCGCTCAGTTTGGGACGGTGATCGCGGGGCGTCCCGTGATAACAGATTACATGTGAGCATCCCAACATGATGAAACGTCCTCGGTGGATGCCAGATGCTCACATGGACTGGTCGTCTATCTGTGGTAGTGAAATCAGCCCCACGCAATTCGTCATTGACATCCCATATCCCGAGCAAGTCACCGACATTACGTTCTTCATGTTGCCACAGTCGCCAGTGCCGCCAGGGTTTGCAGGTGCTGCGGTAGATATACATTTCGATCGTGGTCACGAACGATCTCATGGAGTTCTTGAACGTAGCGGTGCTCTATTTTGCGGTGCCGCACCTCCAAAACTGGCAATTGCTTGGCGGTGTCTTTGCGGAGAAGCCAAGGTAAGCTCCAAAGACATCTGAACAATCGATCTTGACGATATGGGTCTTGTGTAGCGCGATCTTCCGGACGGCGTGGCCCACGCATCCAGACGTGGTCGGGCAGCCCGTGATCCAACTCGGCGTGTCCATCGAAAGGTTTGCTGAATCCCGTGGACTTGTTCGTGTTGCTAAAACTTGGTGATAGTGTGGAAAGCGTGCGCAACTTGGGCATTGAAGCCAGCGGTCTCGAAGAACGCAAGTCTTTTGCGCTGAAAATCGCCCAAGACCTGTTCAACTTCATGACGTCGTTCTCTACGAGCACCAACTCGAGCATGATGGTGGTCCCGACCAACCTCCTCGATCGGTGGATGGAGCGCTTTGAGTCCAAATATCGCCGGGATCCCAACTTCATGATGAAGAACAACTAATTTACCTTGCTTGGTGCTGCGTTTTGGACGTTGATGGCATGGGATTGAGAGTTTGTCGAGTACACGAGAGAACGCAACGCAACGCATAGATCGATCGCATCCTCTCACGTCTAGTATCCCAGCGATGTGGAGTCTCTCTCTCTCTTGCTTAGGCTTTGCATGCTACCAGCTGCCTGTCGTTGTTGGCGAACCTGATGAAAAAAAACGCCTTGCAGTATAAACGTACTTGATTGGCTATAATGTTTTTAGAATCGCTTTTGATTGGTTCTTGGAGTGTAATGCTGTGATTGTCACGGCGGCGGCGCATATTCAGCTCACAGAGAAAGTTTGTTTCCCCACCCCGATGGCAACATCAGACTCCAGCAAGGCGGCGTCGCTCGCAGACCTTCCCCCCCTCAATGAAGCCCCAAGCGCCGACCGCACCAAGTTGTTCCGTCAGAAACTCCGATTGTGCTGCGTGGTCATGGACTTTGGTGAACCGCGCAAGCATTTGCGCGAAAAGGACGCGAAACGACAGGCGCTGTTGGAGCTCGTGCAGTTCTTGTCGGATGGAAAGGTGACGTGGAGTCCGCAAGTCGTGGAAGATCTCATGGCGTGCGTCGAAGCAAACATCATCCGGCCCCTCGGCGGCAAAAGTCGCGGCAACACTAAGGACGGCGGTCGCATCGAAGGTACATACATGCCTCTCTCTCTTTTACCATCTCCTCTCTCCTCCTCCACTACATGACCATTACACTCCCCATTTCATATCAGTGCATTTGTATTTTGACTTGACCAATGGTTATGCGTTCGTGATCGTGTAGGTGTCGAAGAAGACGAACCGGTGTTAGAAGAAGCGTGGCCACATTTGCAACTCATTTACGAGCTGCTGTATCGATTCGTCCTGTCCAAGGAAGTGGACACCAAGTCCGCCAAGGAGTACTTTAGCAAGCGCTTCATGCTGCAACTCCTCAACCTATTCGACTCAGAAGACCCCCGGGAGCGCGACTACCTCAAGGTTGGCAGCCTACACGAACGTCATCTCATCCTCGTTGTTCTCATGCATTTACCACGTAGACCATTTTGCATCGACTGTACGGCAAGTCCATGGCGCTGCGGTCGTTCATTCGCCGCTCCATCAACAACATGTTCTTCACATTTGTCTACGAGACGGAGCACTTCAATGGCGTCGTGGAGCTCTTGGAAATCCTCGGCAGGTACGAAGCAGATGCCATCGACGTCTCGGGACCCTCTGACGTTGCCTAGCATCATCAACGGCTTTGCGCTTCCACTCAAAGCGGAACACCAAAAGTTTTTGGAAAAAGCGCTGATTCCACTGCACAAAGTACGTATTGTATGGGGTTCCAGGCGGTGACGCATGCATTTGTCCACAGGCGGCCAATGTGGCGCAATACCATCAGCAACTGGCATACTGCACGACCCAGTTTGTGGAGAAGGACCCGGCCACGGCCAAGCCTATCATCCTGGGGCTCCTGCGCTTCTGGCCCGTCACGCAAAGCACGAAAGAAGTACTTGGCCCTATGCAATAGTGTCGGTTAGTTTGAGTAATTCGTGCGATTCCTTGTAGATTCTGTTCCTGAACGAGCTAGAAGAAATCATGGAACTCATTCAACCCGAACAATTCGCAGAGGTACGTACGATATTGCAATTGCGGATCGTCGATGACGAGTGCTGAGTAGGTCATGCGGCCGTTGTTCCTTCAAATCTGCCGGTCCATTACGAGTCCTCATTTCCAGGTCGACTGATAGTCCTCGAATGTGTCTGAAAATGTTGTTTGCGTGGTGTCAACAGGTTTCCCAGCGGGCATTGTACCTGTGGAACAACGAGTCTCTCGTCAACTTGGTGGCCGTCCATCGAGTGGAAATTCTGCCGCTGATTTTTGGTTCGCTTTACCGTAACTGCGACAAGCACTGGAACACGTACGGTCGAACGATGCACGTTCTCGTTGGTTCTCAAGAGATATGTAGGACGGTTCAAAGTTTGACGTTCAACGTTCTCAAGCTGTTGATGGAGATGGACTCGCAACTGTTTGATCAATGCTCCGCGCAGCTGGACGAAAGGGAAGGCAAGCAGCAGCATACGTGCGAGGAACGTCGCCGGAAGTGGCTCCAGCTCGAGACACGCGCGTCCCTTGTACTATGAGGCGGCCGTGAGAGTGTCGCGTCAACAAAGTAAATTTGAAAATGACCACCCCAAGTGTTTTGCGCGCGGGAATTAAATGCAGACTTACGGCATTCAATACTGAATCCCAGTCGGAATTAAATATTCGAAATTAATACAGTTGCACACACACATTCCAGAAAGATAAATCGTTGGTACATGCCAGGGAGGTCGACGGTGCCGAGAGGAAGACCCTTGGCGGTGCAAGTACAAGATGCCGAGCTGCACCATCACGTGGAGCTTTACGTGCCGCTTCCCTTACTCCTTCGGCTGGATGTGCTACCGTTCCTGATGCTGTATAGCACCCTTTCCATGTGCAACTGTCAAGCACGTGAAGGCCAAGGCTTCGTGGTAGCGATTGCTCTTGTGTTCTTTCTGCATGCTCTGGCGTTCTTCTCAAGCGAATGGAGCGTTGCAATCAAGGTCTGGAACGCGTACACAAAGATCTCCATGTCGACAGACGTGCTGAAGACTTGTGCATTTCCACACGGCGTCGTGGTGATGATTGACCCAGTGTCATCGTCCCTTGCCAAGGAATTGTGTCTCTTGCACTGGAACAGCGACACCGCGCATGTGGATGCCAAGGTAGGATGTTGAAGATGGCGTCCATCACAACGTGGCGTGCTACCTACCCCCTCCAACGAGAAATCATGTGTTCGTAGGCGTCGGTGGCGATCCCACGCGTATGGTTTTCATATCAAAAGCTCCGCTTCTGCGTGTACGCGACGATGGACGATGACGAGGATGGTGCGACGATGGTCTTCCACCGACTTAGCTATCCCACGACGCATGCGTTGCAGTACTACACCCAGCACACAGGGTATCACTCGTTGGCAGAGCTGAATGCTGCGTCGGCACGTTGGCAAGACAACGAGTTTGACATCCCGATGCCTGAGTTTTGGGAATTGCTCAAGCAGCACTTGGTGGCGCCGTTCTTTGTGTTTCAGGTCCATCCACCACCATCTCCTTCCTCGTCCACTCAATGTCCATATCTTCGTCATCTCATGCTTCTTTGTAGTTCTTCTGCATGCTGCTGTGGTGTTTGGACGAGTACATGTACTACTCGCTGCTAACATTGGGCATGCTGGTGCTGTTTGAGTGCACATTAGTCAAGCAACGACAGCAGAATATGGGGTTGTTGAGGCAAATGCGCCGACCTCCCGTGCGGATGCTCGTGTACCGCCAGGTATCTCCTCGTCCTCCATGATATGAAATGTCATGTTTACCGTCTAATCTAATGCTGCTCTTGTTTGGGTAGAAAACGTGGATCGAAATCCAAAGTCGGTCCCTTGTACCTGGAGATATTTGCTCCATCGGTCGCCCCAAACCCATCCATCGCGGCCAAGACATGTCGGAGCACGTCATTCCATGTGATATGCTTGTGCTCCACGGTGGATGTGTGGTATATATATATATATATATATATAAATAGTATTGTACATGATTTATATACAGTGACTTATATATCGTAGGTGAACGAAGCCATGTTGTCGGGTGAATCGATTCCACTGCGCAAGGAAATGCTAGATGTATCGCAATACGACGCCGATACTGTCTTTAACATGGACGAGAACGTGGCGACGGTCAAAAAGCACATTTTATATGGAGGCACCAAGGTATAATATATTAATACCACCATTTATTGCACGATTTCAACCCGAGATATTAGTATTAATATGGACAAAATACGATTAGGTGTTGCAATTCACGGCGGCGAATTCGGCCATCCATGCCTCGTCGATCCCAGATCCGCCAGATAAGGGCTGCATTGCGTTCGTGCTGCGTACTGGCTTTGGAACGACCCAGGTATATACATTCATGCATATACTATTAATATATATTAGGAATGCAGATTAATTCTGTTTCATTGGAAATATACAATTTTAATTTAATCTTTTTAATGTAATGTTTTTGATTTTATTTACTTGTGAATTGAATCCTTTTTAAAAAATATATTTTCTGGAACGCATGTCTATTTTTTTCTATAAATATATATATAATAAGCCGTGTGTATATTTATTGCAGCTCACACGACAAATATGATAAATGATATTTTATCTAGGGCAATCTCATGCGCACGATCCTGTTTTCGGCCCAGCGCGTGACAGCCAACAACATGGAGTCGATGTTGTTCATCTTGTGTTTGCTGTGTTTTGCGCTAGTGGCGTCGGGTATGGTGCTGCATCAGGTACTACTTCTATTATGTCAAAAATATCTCTGTCCAATTGTTCATATATATATATATAGGGCCTGCAAGACCCCACACGCAACACGTTCAAGTTGTTTTTGCACTGTGTGATGATCATCACGTCGGTGGTACCTCCGGAGCTGCCCATGGAGTTGTCGCTGGCCGTGACCAACTCGCTCTTGTCATTGTCAAAACGGAACATCTTTTGTACGGAACCGTTCCGGATTCCGTTTGCAGGCAAAGTGGATGTCGTGTGCTTTGACAAAACCGGCACCTTGACCAGCGACGCGCTGGAAATGCACGGTGTCGCAGGTTTACTCGCGACGAGCGTGGTGCCATTGGACAACCCGGTGCAACTGGTCGCGCCTACCGCCCTCCCCACGTCCGTCCAGCTGATTCTCGCGGGCTGCCACTCATTGGTACGACTCAATACCTTTGTCCTCATAATTGATTGAAATATGGCGACATGGTAGATGGTCGTGGACGGCAAAGTGCTGGGCGATCCACTGGAAACGACCATCTTGTCCCATGTAAAATGGAACTTACGCCCCGGCGACGTCCTCGTGCCGCACTGGTCGTTCTCACCAGGCCCGAAATCCATGAAGATTGTACATCGATATGCGTTTTCGTCCGAGTTAAAGCGCATGAGTTCAATTGTACGACCAATAACTCGTTTTCGTGGCCATTGGATCCCAATGCGTGCGTTTATCGTGTTTTATCTTTGTAGGTTGTAGTCGAAGCTCCAACAACTAGTAGTACTGGCATGTCGTCGGCGTCGTCGTCGGTGAAATTGCTATCGAAAGGTGCGCCAGAAGTGATGGAATCGCTCTTCGAAACGGTACATGATGTGAATTGCTTTGGATTTTGCATGTATATTATCATCACTATATCTATATCTCTACTTGTCAATAGATCCCACACTATTATACCAAAGTGTACACGCATTATGCAATGAAAGGATGCCGCGTGCTGGCGCTCGGGTCCAAGTCTCTCTCGACGCGGGACCTCCAGCGTTTCAAGACAATTGCTCGGTCCAAGATGGAAACGGATTTGGTCTTTGGTGGGTTTGTCGTGCTGGACTGCCCCCTCAAACGTATGTACATGCATTGCCATCTCTCTCTCTCTCTATATATATATATATTGTGCTTTCGAGTGAAATTTCGTGTTGTGGTTTCTCGTTGGAATTTATAAATCGATTTGATTGGCTACTTCAGATGAGCTCAAAATTATTAGCCAATCAAAACCACCTTCTCAATGAAATTCAACCAATCAGATCGATTGTGGATCGGTTTGGTTGGCGCGACTTGATTGCACCCCCTCCCCAAATCGACAATATATATATATTATATTGTGTACGAGACGTCTCTTATCCGATTTGTAGCGGACACGGCCGACGTCATCTTGCACCTCAACAAGTCCAACCACAAGCTTGTGATGATCACGGGAGACAATGCGCTCACGGCATGCGACGTTGCTACACAAGTATTATCTTTCTTTAAAATATATGGCCTTTTGTGCTGAAAACATCGCCAAAATATATCGATCGATTCTTTGTACTGCAATTTGTATGTAAACAGGTGTGTTTGGTATCACACTAATTGAAGTTTCACACACTAATTCGACGGTGATGATGGTTTCGTGCAATCTGATTGGCTGCTACATACATACTTGTGTACATTTTTATTTGTCGCTCGCTCCAGTTTAAACACTTGACAATAACTATCCTATTCCGTACTTGTCATATAGTACAACCTAGTTACTCGTTACTACCTCGTTACTCGTTACTACCTCGTTACTCGTTACTACCTCGTTACTCGTTACTAACTCGTTACTCGTTACTCATTCCTGTCGATAGATTCAACTGACAGCCGCCCACCCCAGAACGCTAGTGTTGCAACGAACGCTACCATCATCGTCGACGCTGGCATGGGTGGACCTACTCACTCCACCACGTGTACAAGAAGCATCGCCGCCCCCCATCGCATTCACGTCCGAGGTGCCAATCAGTTCATGAATACCAAACGAACTGTATCGCATGTTTATGCTCATACACTGGGTAGACGGTGGCCTCGTTGGCGATATCTGCGACACTGTGCGTGCCAGGCGATGTCTTATCCATCTTGACTCTGTCCCAACTCCAAGTCGTGGCGTGCCATGCGCGGGTGTTTGCACGGACGTCTCCGGCCCAGAAAGAAATGATCGTCGATGCTCTCAACCAGTACGTGTCTCCTTGTGATACATCAGCATCCTCCTTCCATGTTTGATCGTCCAATGCATAATAGAACGAACCCCCCCATACATATTGTACAGTACACGTCATGGAGACATTAGGATGCCAAAATCACCTTGGATTGGGTGACATGTTGTCCAAATATTCGAGTACTTTGTCCAAATATTCGTGTACTTTGTCGAATATTCGTGTACTTTGTCGAAATATTCGTGAATTTTATCCAAATATTCGTATACTTTATCCAAAATTCGTATATTTTATCCAAATATTCGTGAACTTTATCCAAATATTCATGTCATATGGCGCAATAATCGTTGTGTTTTTATGAAAAAGTCGACTTGTTTTGATTGAAATTGTTGTATACAATGAACTTGAGTGATGATGGCACTTAGGAGTGGGTTGATTACGGCCATGTGCGGCGACGGCACCAACGACGTCGGCGCGTTGAAGCGCGCGCATGTCGGCATCTCCATCATCAACACCCCCGACGACGACCATCGTCCGTCCCCATCCTCCTCTTCGCCTCACCCACATGTGGTCAAGTTTGGCGATGCTTCGATTGCGTCTCCATTTACATCCAAGCAGCCAAGCATCCACGCCACGGCGCAGATCTTGTGCCAGGGGCGCTGCACCCTCGTCACGACTGTCCAGATGTACAAGATCCTTGGCATCAACTGCCTCATCTCGGCGTACGTGCTCAGCTCGCTCTACATGCACGGCGTCAAGCAGGGCGACGCGCAGATGACCGTCGTGGGAGTCGTGATCGCGCTCTTCTTTCTCTTTCTGTCATACGCGACGCCACTCGACCGCCTCTCGGCCCGCCGCCCCCTCACGCGCGTGTTTTGCGCGTCCGTGCTGGTGTCCATATCAGGGCAGTTCGCCGTGCACTTGATGACCCTCGCCGCCGCGCTGCATGTCGTGGCGCTGCCGTACGTCGACCTGGACGACCCCGCCATGCACCCCGAAGCCAAGTTCCGACCGAATGTGCTCAATTCCATCGTGTTTGTCGTGTCCCTGCACATGCAAATCAACACGTTTGTCGCCAACTACCATGTATGTAGTCTACCTCCACAATGACGAGGACAGAATTCTGGCAAGGGAGAGGAGGATGATGATGATGTACTCGTAGGGAGCGCCGTTCATGCAATCGTTCGCGCAGAATCGGCTCTTGGCGAGATGGACGTACCTTGCCTACTCCCTCGTGTTTGTGGCGGTGTGGGAGATCTTCCCCCCGCTCAACGTCATGCTCGAACTCGTCTTCTTGCCGTCCTTTGAAGTGCAAGCGACTCTAACTTTGATCCTACTTCTTGACACTGCGGCGGTGCTTGGTTTCGAGACCGTCGTCCAGTGGCTCACCGCGCGGTATCCCGCACTCATGGCATAAGTGGATGTTCACGCGCATACATGCCTTGCTTGGCTGTGACGCCCCGTCGCCATCTCGGTCGGTGGAATCCTCAATCAGTCGCGCAACCACCATCATGCTGCCGACCGGCGCGAAGGAAGTTTGGGCATGTGCTGACAGTTACACTTTGACGTCCATTTAATTATACTATAGAATGTATATAGCGTTGTGAAAATATAAAAATACATGCACCATCTTTTGTCATTTGGTTGATTTTTACTTCGAAGTAACTCAAACATCCACGTATGACGAACGCAACGTTGGCGCAAGCGATTCTCGGACCGCTGGCAGACATCGCGGCGGAGGAGGAGCTCAAGCAGTGTATCGTAGTGACGGATGATGGAAGTGTTGAGGCGCTGCGTTGGTCAGGTGGTATCACGTTCTTGATGAACACCGTCCACGTGCATTCGGTCGTGAGTCTGGATGCTGCCGTGGCTGCGGTGTGCCGCTCTGCCGACGACGACTCGATGGAACCCACCGCACAAGAGCTTTTTGACCCGTGGATGACACAGCAGAAACGAAAGATCCTTCTCTTCACCAGTCGACCCCTCGTCGAGCTGCAGGCTGTGTTGGCAGCCTTGCTGCACGCGGACGTGGCATCGACCTTGATCGTCGCCTCGACGATACCCGAGCGAGCCCACGGCCCGACGTTCTCCTTCGATACATTCGGTCAATCCCTTCTTCGCGGCACCTCATGGAAGAACAGTCATCTTCGCGTTCGCTACGTGCCGTTGCTGTACGCAGCCCTCCTGGAACAATCCGACCCCCGCCGCGACAATGCCCATCCTGGCTTGTTTGTGCTCACCCATCCATTATGTGCGCCCGTGTTTCCTCTCATGCGATGCCATCTCAACAAGACCCGTCGCCACCATCATGACGACGGCGATGCTTCGTCATGGACACATGTGCAGGACATATCTCCGCAGGACATCCCTGAATCCAGCCGCAAAGCGTTCAAGTGCCTCGCCCATGTCCTCGGCTCCATCATGATCCAATGGCAATTTGACGTCCGTTTCTCTATTCTATCTATATATATATATTTGTATTCGTACAACTCTATATATTTCTATTCTTCGTATGTTGATATATATATATCGTGTATGACGATTTATCTATGTATTATTTTCTATTCTTCGTATGTTGATATACATATATCGTGTATGACGATATACCTATATATTTCTATTGGTATGTTGATATATATTACTTACCAGTTTGCCTTTTTCCCTATTCACTTTGCATGTAATATATATCATTTTGTAGGTCAAAGAGCGCATTTTCGCCCTCGGCGCCACATCCCTCAAAATTGGTCACACGTTGGTGCGTTAACGTCTGTTTTGATTGTACCTTTTAGCTCTTATGCGAATTTGGTAGCAACACTTTTTGCACGAACTCGAACAAGAATGCACGGTGCAAGAGGTCAAGTCGTTTCAACCAGCCACGCTCGTTCTCGTTGATCGGTCAGTACCTTTCGAAGCCTCTTATTGGTCAGTAACTCTTTACTTGTATTTATTTCACTCAGCACATGCGATCTCGCAACCCCGTCGTCTCATCAGCACACACTCCTCGATCGAATTCTGCAGCTCTTGCCGAGATCGTCCGCCGTTGGTTCCGTCCTGGTATGTATATTGATTGTCCTTTTACCCCAAAGCATTTGGACTTTTGTGCTGATTTTTCGCCAAATCGATCGATCGATATGCTTTGTATGGACATTTTGTATGTGTTGTCCTGTGGTGGTTGGAATCACACTAATTTGGTGTTGATGTTTCCTGCAATCTGATTGGCTCAATTCTTCTACCGATCGATCCTTGTGTATTTGGTTGTGTGGATTCAATCTGCATGTCGCTGCAATAATATATATATATATATATATACCCGTTCAATCCTACTACTTGCTTGGGTGCTGATTCGTCAAATTCATCGATTTTTTCATTGTAGTCGTGAATTTTGCATGAAACTAGTTGTCCTTGTGGTGATAGGAATCACACGAATTAAAGTCACACACACTAATTCAATGTTGATACTGGTTTTGGATATATTGGCTAAGTACATCTACCAGTGTCGATTCATCCTCCATGTTGCTCCAGTGTAGGACAAACACAACAATATATAGAGTTGTAGCGTATAATATATATATATTGTCCATTTACCCAAAGTGTAGACTTTTGAGCTGATTTTTCGCCAAATCGATCGATCGATTCTTTGTACTGAATTTTGTATGTAAAAAGTTGTCCTGTGGTGATTGATATTACACTAATTGAAGTCACACTGATTTTGATCATGGTTTCCTGCAATCTGATTGGCTCAATTCGTTTCATTCTCCATGTCGCTCCAGTTTAGAATAAACACTATATATATACTTCAGTAAATACATCGATATAATCTACTTCTCGCCTTTGGTGACGTCCTGCCATGTAGACGAGGGACCACATCACTGAAGTCGCGCCGCTGTATGCGACGCCGTCGCCGTCCCCTTCAACCCCGTCGCACGCCGACTCTCCGTCCGGATTCCTATCGTCGGTCCAGACGTGGACGGGGGGCGTCGGCGTGTGTCATCCGCACCCCGGAGCCTCTAACCGCGTGTTCCAGTCGCTGGCTGTGGTACCGCCCCTCTTGGCGCTTCGACACTTGGACAAGGAGCTGCGGGAGGTGGCTATGGACCTGCTCAAGCAAAAGCTGACACCCGTGCCCGACAAGAAGGCTGACAACCAGCGCGGCCGCGACGTGATTCTGCGCTGGGTCAAGTGCGTCGTCGACTGCTCGGACGGCGCCGTGACGTGGCAGCACCAGGAGCTAATACAGGTGGCTCTGGCCGTTTTGGAAACCCTCGAGCGCATGGAAGCTGGCGCGGAAGTTGCGAAGCTACTGACCGGGTTGGAAAGGGATCTGCGGGGACGAGCGGGTGCGTCGATGGTGTCGGACCTAATTGAATGGCTGAATGGAGCAACCAACCAGTTGGACGTGGCCAGTCTGGTGTCCTTGTGCATGTATGCGATGGCCCTTGCTGGCCCCACTGCCAACTTGGACGACGAAACCACCACAGCACTCAAGCGTGCCATCATGTCGACGATTCGCCAAGTAACTTACTACGACCTCTGCGATGTGGTTATCATTTTACTTGTTCTGCATGTATTGATACTATGATATTGGGCATAATTTCCACCCAAATATGGACTTGCCAACTATTCATAGCATTCGAATCGATTTGATCTTCCCATTTAAGCTTGTGTAAACTATACTATACAACGATTAGTATCCATCACGTCGGTTTGCCCAATGGACCAACTCAAACGTTTGGATTGGCAGAATATATTCTGTGATTTGATTGGCTCTGGCGGTTTTTTAATTCTTCACCTCTTACGATATTCGAGTATTCTGCCAAGTGTTCCAGTTTCAAATCGATTTGTTATAAGAACGTCAATACTATTGCCTCTGTAGAACCCCACGCATCCGTTGCTTCCCCATGGCCTCATTGCGCAGCTACTCGATAAAGAAGAAGATAATGTTGTCACCACTGGTGACGATAACTGGGACGATTGGGGGGACGACGATGACGACGCTTCGTCACCACCACCACCATCGTCACACAGTCAACAGCCCTCGGACCAGCTGCATTCGTTTCTCGACACTTTAGTCGATGCATTGCAGGTACAAACTACTACTATTAGTACTAGTACTACCGAGTAGACTCATATTTCCATCTACCGAATCACCATTTGAAACCAGTGCGATCGATATACGGTAGGAATGCGGCCAGCTATTCAAAGCCATGCCAGGAGGCCACTCAGGCGAACAACCATCGGGGCTGCTTGCTCGGCTTATGGCCCTACTGATTGACCCCCCGAGTGCACCGACCATTCCCAAGCTACAACACGTACGTACATCGTCACATATTTCTTTTGCCTGCCAATATGGTGTAAACGTCATCGCATATTGGATGTGGAGACGTAGGTGACCGACGCCACCGAACAACTGACGCGGGCCGGCATGGACTTGCTCAAGTCGGGTCTGAGCGTGTTTGGCTTTGGCTCGGCGGCGCCGGCACACGCCCCTGCGACATCGGCCACGGCGCACTGCCAGCTCCACGACACGATTGTCATCTTTGTGGTCGGCGGCATTACTCTGCACGAGGTAGTACACTCTAGTAGTACTATCCAATGGCCTGTACGACCTAAGTGTACGATCTAACTAGGTGCAAGCGATCGCCCAAGTTGTCAAGACGCGACCCGACTTGCGCGTGCTCGTGGGCAGCACCACAGTCACGTCTCCCGATAAACTCCAACACCACGTCGTGTGGCAACAGACGACGACTACATAGTAATACTAAAACTACTTTGGTCCAATAATTAGTCGTACTACTCTGTTTCTACAGGTTGTCCAATTGTAAAGACTACAGTACTTTGAAGTAGTACTTTGTGTTAAAAGGTGTACTAAATATTGTGGATTCGATACGAATTTCCAGACCCCGTCGAATCGAATCTCGCCGCCGAATCGAATAATCACGAATGGACGCTATTGGCTAATCCATTTTTTAGTGGATTTGATTGGCTGTTACAGTATATTCAACCAATCAGAACTCCAGCGTTCATTCAATATTGATTACTAGTAGATATTTTGGAAGTTTTTAGCGAATTCACAATAGTACGTATTGTGGATTCGGTATTGTGCTTTTCACTGAACTTTGGACTTCGCAGTCGAAACTTCAAAGCGATTTCGAATGTATTTTCCATGTTTTCCCCGACTGATTTTACCCAATCCGAAGCGACAGGGCACGAGACTGGTAAAATCTCTGGAATGGAGTGATGTGATTGGCTTAAGACATTCATAATCTCTTTGTTTAGGCTATTCGATTCGCCTCCCCAGTCCAATTTAGTGTTGAATACACAATATACCGTCGAATCGAATCACGAATCGACACTATTATTGGCTAATCCATTGTTGAGTGGATTTAATTGGCTCTTACAGAAAGGACAAGTTTAGTCAACCAATCAGAACTCCGGCGTGTTTCTGTCAATCTTGGCGAATTCACAATATTAATAGTTAGTGCTGCATTATTGTACGTGACGGATCTGTGATTTGCCGATTTTGAACTCCATTCAATCGACCATATCTGGCGAAGTTCAAATTATCTCGACGTAAAAGTTGCAGTCCCAAACTCACTTTTTTTTAGCTCTATAGCATCGTCCGAATACAAATCAAGAGTAAGAGTGTGAATCAGGGCAAATAAAATGTCAAAGTTAGGTGCTCAAACAGGCGATCGGTGATTTGCCGAAATTTAACCTTGAATTCAGTATTGGAATTTTACGGCTTCGTTGAATCAAAATTATTGATTTATAGAGCAATATTATATGTATGAAGAGATAATATTTTACAGGTCATACTTGATTTGCAAATCAAGTATGACCTGTAAAATATTATGCAAACAGGTGATAACCTTTTTAAAATAGTACTATACCCATCATAATGTTTTGATGGTGTCAGTTGTTGCAGGCTTTTATTTTATCCAATCATATCAATTCTTGAATTCTATTGGGTAGTGCAGCTCGGCAAATCACCGATCTTTCGGCAAATCACAGATCCGTCACGTTAATAGTAACTTACCCTTGTTTTGCAATGTTACAGTAACGTTAACAACAAATAAATAATACTCCGGATAAAAGGCAGTAGTTCGCGAATAATATCCGGACATCCAATAATACTACACCACCTCCCAGTCAAGTTGAATCGTTTTTCCAGTCAAGTTGGAATGGATAAAAAGTATAAATTTTGACGAGTGAAGTGATGTGAAAATCTCGAATCAAGTTGGAATAATACAGACAACGAGGGAATTTAAGGCTCATCGAAGTTTTGAGTGTCACACACTTTTTTCAGCCAATCAGCAGCAAATCACGAAATACTTAAATTTCTATTGGTGAATTTTTATAATATGTTTCGAATTTCGAACTACGCTATCCAGTCATATCGTGAAATTTGCGCTACACACAGAACTTCGATGAGCCTTAAATTCCCTCGTTGTCTGTATCCAATCAAGTTGGAATATGTTAGCGGGAAAAGTGGCGGGAATGCATGATATAACAATACATGAACTTCGACTCACTTCCAAATTCTTGACCTTGCTATGCCATCCTGCGTTAAGCGCAATGGGCCAACGTCAGAAGAAAAGGAGCGCGTACTCGAAGCCTACCAGCGCGGCGACGACTGGAAGCTCGTGGCGAAACATAATGGCATGGCTTCCACTACAGCCTGGCGCGTTGTCAACACTGGTCGAACAACCTTGATGCCCATGGGCGGCCATCGACCACAACAAGCAAAGGTCACACCGGAGATTCGAGCGGCTTTGGAGAGATATCT